GTCAACCCCTAACTTAGTGATAGGGAGTGAAGTGATAGAACATGTTGACCACTTCACCTATTTGGGAAGTTGTATTAGCACCAACGGACTGATTGGCGATGAAATCTCAGCACGGATCCGAAAAGCTCGAGCTGCTTTCGCTGACTTACACCATCTCTGGCGTAGGCGTGACATCCGGTTATCAACCAAGGGACGTGTGTACTGCTCATCAGTTCGCTCCGTCCTTCTCTATGGCTCTGAAACATGGCCAATACGCGTTGAAGACATGAAAAGGTTGACTGCTTTCGATCATAGATGTCTGCGATCTCTGTCTCACGTTAGGTGGTTTCACAAGGTAAGTAATGTTGACGTTAGGCGTAGAGTGTTGGGCAAAGAGGGAAAATCAATCGACGAGGCTATAAAGTTACATAGACTAAGATGGCTAGGTCACGTGGTGCGCATGCCTAACCACCGCCTCCCCCGACGGGCATTGCTAGCTGATATAGGTTCAGGTTGGAAAAGAGCCAGTGGTGGCCAAACAAAAACATGGCCTCATCAATCCATGAAATCCTTGACAGTTAAACTGAGTCAGGTAGGGAGATGCAGACTTCCGGGTTGGGGCCCTCGGGACTCTAGGAATCAATGGCTGGAGACAATAGGTGACATGGCTCAAAATCGTTGTCAATGGCGCAGATGTATTCAGTCTCTGTAATCTTTCATATTCCTTTCTACCATTACCCATTCTGTTTCACTCTTATACTTGTCAAACTCTATTGATTCTCTTCACTCATCTTCTTGTCTACCTCTGTGTGCTATTTGGAACGTGGCAACTCGAACTGCTGCACTTCGGTGCCAAGTTCTATGTTGAATCCAGACAGACAGACTTATGAGTAGCACTCGCCACAATACTATTTTCACCAGGGTGAAATAATGTTATGTACTGAAAACTACCACGTTTCAAGTGTGACAACGGACTGATGTCATTTAAAGATACCATTGGAAACCAGGTAGTACTAAACAGCAGTTTCATCCTAGTTTGGGAGATTCATTCAGCACTAAGTGTGTGCCAAGCCTTCAGATCACAAGATAATCATGTTGATCACTCACAACCACTGGGATGGAACCAAATGACCAGTCGGTGAATTCCAACTTCTACTAATGCGTTAATATAAAAGTAGAACTTGCGCACTGTGATAGAGTATAATTCCATTGTGAGTAAAATTTCATTTTGATAATGTCTCACACTGTTATGCAGTAATATTTACTACCGATGAGCACGTTTTGAGCACAATTCACTGCTCATAATCATATCAAGTTACTCACACAACTTTCCAACTTCATTAACGTGGTTCCACTTTTTCTCATCTCTTGATTTGATTGGTAGTAGTACTTTCCATATTTCCGGTATGAGTGATGAGTCATTTCAGTTACATGTGTTGGGTGTAGACTCGATGAACAAGGACTCAGCAATCAGTCTCTCTCTCTCTCTCCACCTACCTAGATTACTTTTTAGAATTTCACCCTCTCCCACCCCATTGTGTGGTTGTGTGTTAATGTATGCAGTGCGATTGCTGAGCTTTTTTTCTAAACCACCTACGTACTCAGGGTCAACCATTCTTACTTAAGTTTAATTCTTGTGTTCCGACAGGTAATCTCACTACTACTGATCTACTAGTTTGACCTGTGTAGTTGACCTCAGTCACTGTCATTGCAGGGGATTTTGTAAATTATATTATTTTGTTTAATTTGGTCAACTGACGGGGTCCATTAAGTTACAGAGCTTGTCCTACCTGATGGAATTTGTTAGTTTGAATGTCACTCTCATTCCTGCTTTATTGAGAATCCTACGTAGAGAGGGTTTCAGATGTCCTCTCCTTATGTGGCAAAACTGTGGATGCCTTATATTCTCTTCTATTTATGTTATTATTAGTTTCACAATTATTTTTATTTGGCTTTTGACCTTTCCTGATCTTCTTAATGAACTTTATAGGCTAGTTATTTAGTACCAACGTTTCTTCTGTTTCTTTTTATCATTTGGGTCTTTTCTTGTACTACTTAGTACTACTGCTTGGTTTGTTAGACACTTAACTGAGCCTGCATTAACAGTTGACGGATGAGGTGAATTACAGTCTAAATATCTATTAGAATGCGTTGGACTTTTATCAACGCTAGCTTGTAGTTTACCTTCTTCTATTCGTTTTATTTTACAATCTAACATAGCTAACGCTCCTTCTTCATTTTTAGATTGAAATGTGAATTTTATTCCCTCTACTAGTGAGTTTATATGTGTCAAGAAGCTAGAGATAGGTTCTGTTTTTAACACTGAACGTATCACCCACAGGAAAATCCTCAGGGACAAGCTCTGTTACTTAATGGATCCCGTCAGTTGACCAAATTAAACAAAATAATATAATTTACAAAATCCCCTGCAATGACAGTGACTGAGGTCAACTACACAGGTCAAACTAGTAGATCAGTAGTAGTGAGATTACCTGTCGGAACACAAGAATTAAACTTAAGTAAGAATGGTTGACCCTGAGTACGTAGGTGGTTTAGAAAAAAAGCTCAGCAATCGCACTGCATACATTAACACACAACCACACAATGGGGTGGGAGAGGGTGAAATTCTAAAAAGTAATCTAGGTAGGTGGAGAGAGAGAGAGAGACTGATTGCTGAGTCCTTGTTCATCGAGTCTACACCCAACACATGTAACTGAAATGACTCATCACTCATACCGGAAATATGGAAAGTACTACTACCAATCAAATCAAGAGATGAGAAAAAGTGGAACCACGTTAATGAAGTTGGAAAGTTGTGTGAGTAACTTGATATGATTATGAGCAGTGAATTGTGCTCAAAACGTGCTCATCGGTAGTAAATATTACTGCATAACAGTGTGAGACATTATCAAAATGAAATTTTGCCCATAATAGAATTCTACCAATTCGATGAACATGATGCGACCGCCAAAGAATGTTACTGGCGAGTATTTTTTTCTTACACCTGGATGATCTGGTCGACCCCACTGGTCACAACATTGGTTAAAAATCCAAGCGACTTCATCCTTCAGTAGTCAGTCATTAAAATTTTTATTCGATCGTGGAACTTTCACCACTGAGTTTGATGTTATTGTCAAGACAATACTGCACCACATCCATTTTTATAATGAGCTAAAAACGTCTCCGATGTTACCTTAACATAAAATATTATCATGTCTCATGACCACCATAAAACAACGATATTACTGATGTCATATAATTTGTTCATATTCACTACATAAACAAACTTTCTACAATCTAACAATGAAATATTTATCGAAAGGATATCATGAATTTTGTTCAATTAACTTGAAATGATTACTTATAATCCAACGACCCACTGAATAGGTAATGCTAGTTCACTCGCGGTTCAGGGGTAGGATGCCCACTAGTTACGAGTGTGGTTTTCCCAGCTTCAATCCCCAGCAGATGCACTTCTAAACTTCGCTCACCAGATAGTAGTAGGCCCAGTAAAGAGGGAACGTATGGAGAGTCAGGCTTTCAATTCCACTCCGTAAAAAGGAGAATAACTGACCGACTGACTGGGTTCAACGTAGACTTTGCACAGATATGTAGCACTTCGAGTTGCCACACTCCACGTAGCACACAGAGAAGAGAGTAGAGAAAGATTTAAGACAGAGACAATAAACAGAAATATAGGCAAAATTAATAGTAATATGGAAGAAGTTCTATCGGACATAACAAATCACAAGGAGTAGGTGCATATGCACTATCATCGAGAACGATTTTGAGCCATATCATCAATTGTCTTCAGCCGTCGGCTTTCACCATCTCGAAGGCCCTAACCAGGTAGTCTACACTACCCTACGTGGCTTAAACTGACTGTTGTGGATTTAATTGGCTGATGAAACTATGTTTTGGTTTGACAACCACTAGCCTTATCTTTTCCAACCTGATCGATCCTATGTCAGCTAATATTGTCTGTTGTCGAGGTAGGCGATGGCTACGCATGTGTAACACATGTCTTCCACTTTCAATGGCCAGGTCTCACAGTCATAAAGGAGGACGAAACGGACTGCTGATCAGTACACTCGCCCTTTGGTCTATAGCCGGATATCACATGTACGCCAGAGATGGCATGAACTAGCATATGCAAAACGAACCTTCTGTATCCTTGCTGAGAACAATACCATTGCTACTGCAAACTGGAAAGATTAAATCTTAAAGATTATTGTTTCACTCGGAACACAAAGGAATAAAAAGGATAATGCCCAAATAGGCAGAAGCACGTGCCGTGAATCCAGCAGATACTGCTTGCAGAAGCAAACGATTACAAAGAAAACTACTGTCAAGCTGCATAATTGTACATTCACAAAAATAAAAGGAATGTTTCCAAAGATGTCACTATAATTGTAAGTTTCAAATAATAGTTACGTAATACAGGGAGTGTTAAACGCGTAGAAACTAAAATAAAATCAACGAAGCAAAATGTGTGAGGTAATGTAACTGTGACAGGGTTGGGCAGAACTCCACTAAAATTGAGTCAAGCTAAGATCGACTTTATCATAAGGAGTAGAAATGTAGTAGTGCGGGCCGATGGAGAGGGGGGGGGCAGATAATTGATTTGAAAGACCAACAAAAATTACATATCAAGCTTTAAGACAAATTAGGTAGGTCCATTGTAGCCTTAGTGACTAAATTGCATCACAACACGCAATTTATTTATTCAATCTTATTTTAGTTTCTATCCGGTCAACACTGTATTACGCAATCGTTATCTCAAAACTACGCCGCCTTTAATTATACATCTTTAAATTTACTACAACTATGCAATTGTACATTTTGAAATTGGCATCGTTAAACGTCTCTTCTTTTATATGACTTAAATGAAGGAGGGGGGGGGGCTGGGGTTAAGTTGCATAAAACTATTTACTGATTGCAGGCTAAAGAATGGCATCAACTATATACACATAAAAACTACACATTAAAATAAGTAATTATTAACAAAAACACGAACTTACTTTTCATCCTCCTGCTTGATAATTCTACCGAATTGTTCTTCAATAAAGCATAAGCTATCGACAAGATTTACGCTAGGCATTGAATGATTACTAAATTGAGGCAAGCTTTGAGTTGTGCTCGATGATAATGTTGTAAGATCTGAGGTAGGATCACGTAGAATCGGTGGTACAGTGCCTAAAGGTTTTTGTGTAGGTGTGCTAACAATACCAGATGAACACTGTGAAGCAAATCGAGTAGACAGGTGACTGTTATTATTACTACTGTTACTAGGCCATATATCACATTGAATATCTGCATCACTGGATGGAATAGTTGGATGACAACAATAAGGTGATGTCATAGTGAAAATTTCACAATAACTTTTTTGAGGTATATCAATTGAATGATGCGTTGGTAGTTTTGTTTCAGGTGATGGACAAGGTGAATCAGAAGGTGGAACTAACAATATCCCTGTAAGTGATCTTGGACGATTACGTCTATTTGAAACAGTCTTTGAATTGATTGGACTATCACTTTCAATGGCACTGCGTAGAATATCTCTCATTTTCCTGATTAAATCATCTGATGATGAGGTAAGATCAGTTGGAGCATCATCACTATCCTTTGTACCGGATGAATTCAATGCATGCGGAAAAGATTGTTGTATGGTGTTTCGGACTTTGGTAACAGTTAAGTCAGAGAATACCCAACAATCGGATGGAATGTCACGAAGAGGATAAATGCCTGCAGTATCTTGATTGCTTTCAATTACAAAAGTAGAATCTCCTTCTTCTTCTTCTTCTACTTTATCAGCAATGTTTTCTTGGGATGGCTCAGAAATGGCAGGTGATTGACAAATTGTCTCTGTAGTTAATTCTGTGCTACATTTGGACCGCTTTTTCAGTTTCTTGCCAGTAGAATCATGAGTCGGTGGTGGCATGTTATTCACACTGCTTGCATTGCTATGACAGCTATCCGGATTTGTAACCGGAGTCTGTATACCACTAACACTTGTCTTCGACTCATTGATTTCGTCAACTTCCAGCTTGTCTTTCTCTGATTCAATGTCAGGCTTATGCAAGCCAAGATTTAAGTTAACAGCACGTAAAAGTTCATCATTACTGAGCTTGGAAAGGCTTGAAGGACGACTGTCACTTTTCACAGGTGATGGTTTCGGTGTTCCCTGAGAAGCGGATGAAGAATTTAGTTTAGAAAGCTTAGGATTAACAGTGTTGTCATTCACTTCTACACTATCTTTTCGTTTATCATGATGCGAGGATAATTGTCGACTGGTAATTTTGCATTGCCCAACGACAGAATCTAACTGAACACTTTCTTGAAGTGATGATTTGTAAGAATTGCTTGTTAAGTTCATATCGTTCAAAGAAGTTTTACTGGTATCATTTGCATCAAATGCATTTCCAGCCGATTTCTGTTCAATAAATGCTGTTCTCCCTGACTCTGAATGCGGTAATATTTTCGGTGAACTAACAACAACATTATGTTGATTCTTATTGTGAATTGGACTAAGCTCAACAAATAGAGAATCTTTCTGTGATAAAAACTCTTTGGATTCTAATAGTAAACGTTGAATGAAACTTTTTCTGGCCTCAGGAGTTTTACAATGTTGACTGTAAATCTCCTTGCCTGCAGACGTGATCATATCATTAGAAGGTTTATGTACAGCTTCACTTTTGGATTTATCATTTGACACTGTGACTGCTTTAGGCATTGCTGGTGATATCGTCTTTGGGGGTAGAGTGCTTGTCGTTGTCGGTAATTTGCTAGGAATGTTGGTTATATCACTGACAACTGTGGTTTGAGCTGAAATGGGCAACCTGTCGGAGGTTACAACCGTTGCTGAAAGACGTTTACAGGATACATTTTCTGTATTGAAGATTTCAGATTCACGAGGAGACGATACAAGTGCCAATGACGATTTGCTAATTTAATGGAACAAAGAAAATGAATAACTGTTACGGTGATTTTTCACAACAACAAAAAAACGAAACTTATATATCTAAAGGATTCCCTCCTGCTCGATTAACCAAAATGCCATCTCAAAGTAAGTGATTTTATTTCAGTCGGACATACATCTACGGCTTACTACTCAAGATACATGCCAACATGCACTTAAACCCTTTTTTATAATTTATTTATTTAAACGCATAAAAAACTTGATACAATATGGCACCAAGAAAGATGCGCCACACTACATTTTTTGTGTGAGGGCTGAGATACTGCCCGGGCGCCCAGACCAAAGCAGGTGGTTTTCTTAAAGGACCACCCCCGAGCCTTTGACTTGGAGTCTAATCCGCAAGACAGCGGAGCAGAGTCAGGAGCTGCATTCCCATGGTTTCCGGTGACCCATATGGGTTCATACGCCATTTGATCCGACTGGATTCTGGAGCCCACGTATCCCACGGTAACTGCTTTTAGTCTAACCGCTATCCAACCAACCTTCCTGACATGGTAGGACCTGCAGGGACATGAGTCCCAGCCAGTTTAGCTTGTTGGGTCACTGCGGTATTCAAGCTTGACCACCACGGCAAGGTAGTAGTTGTCGGCCGGCACTTAAACCAACTTGTGAACTATGTCATGACGACCAGTAAATAAATAAATGACAATGAAATAAGTAACGATAATAAATAATAGACATTTGTGAAAAATTATACTTGTAAAATCTCAGCGAGATTGAAATGAGTAATTCCAACGTTTCGTTCGGCAGTCCATTTGAAATATTATTTTACAGTCGAATTAAATTAACAAAGAAACTAGGTAATTGGCACAATCATCGTGTTTTCACTCTCCGTTGTCTGCAACAACATGCATATCCTAAATCCGTAGCTGTCCAGTCACCTGACAACTCCAGTAGGTCGAATGAAGCAGAAAGAAGACAAAGCAATAAGTTCGACAGGGTGCTTAAACTAAACTCTAATCCTGAACACCATAATTTTGAAAATACGTCTAATCACACAATTCTAGATGCTAACAGTTTGAACAGACATGAAGGTGTGATGTTAGCTGATGCATAAAAAATCCTCATTAATAAATAAAAATGGATATATATCACTAATTAATAATACTTGGTCAAAATTCCTGACCTGGAGACGTTAAGAAATGTTTCACAATTGTTTACCCACACACGCATGCACACTCTGTTTAAAGTGTTTAACAAAGGTAGACCAATACTTGTAAGTCCGAGGTCAAATTTTGATCACAGCTCATACAATTTTGTTTATTATACTTGTTAATACTTGTTTTATGACTTATGATTGGACAAAGGTTTTTAAAACACAAAAGATGTTCCTTTTATATATAAACCTCTGTTAATTTCGATTAACTTCCCTGAAGAAGTTCGGACCAGAATGCCGAACGAAATGTTGGAATTACTCATTTGAATCTCGCTGTGATTTTACAAATATAATTTTTTACAAATGTCTACTTCTCACTCGGCGCCCAAATATTTTAGAACTATTCTGTCAAATCTTGACTACAGTTCATTTGAATAATAAATAATAAATGAAAACTTAGTTTTATTACACTGATTAATTTTGAATTCTGAAGTTTTCCCAACAAAACTACCATTCACTAATATACGCTGTATAATGGGTAATAAAGTCAGTGGATATTTACAAGAGTTTGGTTGTAGGGATTTGATTTGCTCCTAATAGTTTGACCACGGATTGATATTAATTAGAGAATCATTGGAAAACCAGCACTGGACAGCTGTTTAGTCCTGACTTGTGACTCCTCATCAGTTCACATCCACTGGGACTCGAACCTAGGGCGTTCCAGTTATAAGGTAAGCTGGTAGACCATTCAGCCACTGGGACCCGATTTAATGGCCACTCCATGAACTCTAACTTCGTGGTTTCAGTGTGACTGGCTCCAGGCATTACCACTAACGAGTATTTTCTCTTACTCCCCACAAACAGACTCTTCAAAACTTATCTGATGCTCGCTAGTGACCGACTGCGAGACGATGTTGACTGGAGTTCTCGTGACCAATGGGGCCAACTCGGTCGAGAGTGAGTGAGGACAAACTAGTAGACGTCAGTGGGCAGTGTTAGAACTCAGCTCCGTGGAATATATTTCTTATGTACCACAGGCTACGAGCCATACTTATTACATGATAACCAATGGTTCTACTCAGCTGTTCAGACTGAAGTAGGCGGATTAGGACAGAAACCTGTACCGAATAATTGGGAGTCGAATGGCTTTAACAAATAAGCCACATGTAATACATTATTTGTGACGACACGTATTAGCCATTTATGCCAAATCAGTCAAAATATACTGACCACTATATTATAAAGTACAGCGATTGAGAAATAACCCTTCTAAATTTTGTTAGCTTTTGACGATTTTTTGGTCTAATTTAAGCAAAAGTAGTTATACAGCTAATCCTTTGCAAAAAATTCACCTACCTCTGTACTGCCTCAGTGAAGCAGTGGACACAATGTTGATTGCGTAATTATTTCGATTGTTTTACTTACCATTCCAGAACACATCAATTATAAGTGGGTTCTGAAGTCACGCAACAACAAGCGAAGTAACTACTTTACAAAACGTCACTAGATGACATCATTGACATCGACAAGGTTGTGGAGTTACACCGATTGAGGTGGTTAGGACATGTGTGACGCATGCCTGTCTGACCGTCGCCTTCATCGACAACAGACAATATTAGCTGACATAAGATGACTCAGGCTGGAAAAGAGAAAGCTAGTGGTAGTCAAACGATAACATGGTTTCATCAGTCAATCAAATCCATAACAGTTAGTTTAAGCCAGGCAGCCAGTCACGTAGGGAGATACAGACTGTGTGGCTGGTTGGGATCGTCAGGATGATGGCTCAAAATCCCCGTTCTCATTGATGGTGCAGATGCATTCGCTCTTTGTGATTTGTCATACCCAATAAAACCCTGTTCTACCATTTACAATTTCTTTTTCGCTTACTCACACTTCTGTTTACCGTCTGTCTTCTGTATCTGTCTTTACTCTCTTCTTTCAATTATTATGCTACATGGAGATTGGCAATTCAAACTACTGAAAATCTGTGCAAAGCTCTTTGTTGAAGCCAGTTAGTCAGTCACTAATATCATTAGGTGTTTTCCTTTCTGCAGTTAAGGAGTCAAGAATCTGAGATATATACATATACCTGCAACCAAAAATGAAAGCTAGCTAGTGTGAAACTGCTGACTGCCAACTGTAAATCTGTCTGTCTCATGTAATATTGACTCTTGTGTAAATACAAATCTTAGACGTGTTTTTATATTATAGTTTCCTAGACTTGTTAAGGGAAATAACTGAAATATCACAGTAATGATACTGTCAGATAATATGGCAAACTTTTTCTCCCTGTACATCAAAATACTATGAGTAAGCATCTAGCAGCAAAAACTCTGTCTGTCCATTTCCGACATAGAACTTTGCACCGATGTGAAGTACTTCAAGTCTCCACATTCACTCCATGTAGCACAAAGCAAGATGACAAAGTAGGAGAAATGCATAATAGAGACAGTACACAGAGGTGTGAGATAAAGGAATAGTAATAACGAAGAACGATATAGTTTCACTGGAAATCATAAGTCACAAGGAGTGGATGCATCTGCGCTGTCATTGAGAGTGATTTTGAGCCATATCACCAATTGTCTCCAGCCACTGGTGTTTACCATCCTGAGGACCCCAACCAGGAAGTCTACACCTTCCTACGTGGCTGGCATAACTATCTGGTGTGGATTTCATTGACTGGTCCCATGTTTTGGTTTGACTGCCGCTAACTCTTTTCCAGCCTGACCCTATGTCAGCTAACCCCACGAAACCTTCCTGAGCAGCAAAAACTATGAAAGGTAATTAAGGATATGTGTATATTATCATAGAATACAGATTTTAAATGCGTACTGTTTATATAATAGCCTACCTAGTGATGTAAACTGAAGTGGTAAGTGGAAAACGGTAAGTAAACACTAAGAATTATATGAATAAAAACGAATGTGAATGAGAAACTGTGAACAAGCCATTGGACAAATGGTCAGTGAAGAAGCACAATAGTGTTACTCCTTCCCAAGACGCATGATAAAACCTATAAGGAAATAAGTAGAGAATATTAAATGACAGGAAGAACTATGTTAGAAATCCGTCAACAGACGTACAAAGATATATTTGAATAAGCATCGGATTTCTTCTTGTGAGAGAACTGAAGAAGGAACGAGCTTGATCAATATACAATCTAAGATGTTAGACCTCATTGTCATCCAACGTTTAACGATTCTGAGAAAAGTAGAAATAGACCAAACTAGACTGAGTGAGTATTTCTTACTTAGAACAATCGACAAAACCCACAAAGGAAATACACAGGTCTGTTTGATGGTTATCACTTTCTGAAATGAATGCTTGGTAAATATCATCCTAATGAAGGTTGTCTATACTGACTGAAACAGGCGCTTTGGTGTAGTTGTGATCTTTGAGCTGGACGCTTTAGCTGTGAAGCGTTCATCGTCTTGTCAGACAACATCCTAAGCCCATACTTTAATTTGGTACATGGAGAAACATAAGGGCTTAGTAGATATGGGAGACTGAAATAAGTGAATGCCTCTACGACTTTGAACCATGTTACCACGACTTAAGCGTCTCGAGGACCCCAACCAGGCCACCTAAGCTCAAACCAACGATCAAAGACTTTATGGATTAATGCTACATCTTGATTTAACCATCTTTAACTTTTTTCAACCTAATCCCATGTCAGATGACATTGTTCGACGGGGAAGGTGTCGACCCACCACATGCGTACAACTTGTCCTAACCATCTTAACCGATATATCACAACCTTATCAACTGACTTACCATCCTAACCTAATACTATGCCTAACCTCGGTACTACTCACCATATTATACCACCTAACATGCGAGATTGAACGCATACCTGTGGTTAAGGCAGCTACGAAGACAGAGTGAACTGTGGTGCACTACACATGTCCTTTGATCGATAGCCGGGCATCACATTTACGCCAGAGGTGTCTCAACTTGATAAACACCACCTGAGTCTTTTGTGTTCGAGGTGAGATTCCGTTAACAACCAACTCATTAGGGCTGATGCGATTTCCCAAGTAGGTGATCAACACGTTCAGACACTTCAGTTTCTATTTTCAAACTAGAAGTCTATATAGACCAGTCATGCAACATCATTTTACATTCTGCAGGTGCCAATCACATGCTTATTTTGATGATGTTTGCTAAATATATTCGAAAGATTCGGTATTTTGTCAGTATACAACTACAATTATAGTATATGCATACTTGAAATTGATGAGACTATTCGCTAGTAACACGTCAATCCATGAGTCGCTATAGTCAGTTAGTGTCACATGCATTAGTCCATCAATGAGGAAACTAGACAAAACTGGAGACACTGGGCATTTCTGATGGATACCACTGGTTTCCTCTACTTCAGATGACAACTCCCTATAAGCTCTTAAAGGGCTGTGTGAGTTTAAGTAGCGTTTTGATTAGTACGATATACTTTCTCGACAGTCTCCCTGCGACCAGATATCACCAAAACTGACAGCTTACCACTTCTGTCATAGGATAATTTAAGATTACTTAAGAGACAAGTAGGATGCTTCTATAACATATTACGAATATTTCATGTATATAGTGCATGAGAATGAATGCTATAGCAGCTAGATCATACCTAACTACTACATGAAAGATTTACGGAGGAGAAAGCATAAAATAATGCACATATATGGCATCCAAAAAGCTCAACTTTTGAAATCCCTGATGTTTGCTAGGAGTCAGATGTCATTCAGCATGAAGACTACAGGCTTGACACAGATAACTGGGGATTAGTCTTCAGCACCTTGAATAGTTTTAACCTGACATTAACGATTAAGCTACAAAGACCCACCTATGCATGAACTTATTAGAAATGCACTCTTTTTTTAAAAAAAACACTAATTTGTTTAGCAGCATGGTCACTAAAATTAAGAATTATGATCTGAATTACCGATGCTATCAATGAAAATATTGCGTTGCAGTAATTAATATCTGAGGGCATAGAGGAATGTCGTCCGCTGACTTACTCATAATGTTTTGTATTCAAAGCTTCTTTAAATGTTTAATAATAGGCGTACTCTCCTTGCGAAACAATCAGATTAGCGTTTATAGAAGCCATATGCAAAAGGACATTAAACTTTTAAATGATAAGGTGGGGATATACTCACGATAATATGCTTAACTCAATCTAGGATACTACGTAATTGATGCTTAAAGCAAGAAACAGGTCTTGGAAAGAGTATATAGAATATAGTTACCAGGTTTGTTATGAAAATTCTACACAACTTTTATGATTAGATGGTGGAAAGTTTAAAACCACTCTAAATATCACATTCTAGAAGTAGAGGTGATTTTATTTTACCTTAGGGTCTACTGAATACCCATTCTGTTTCACTCTTATATTTGTCAAACTCTATTGATTCTCTTCACTCATCTTCTTGTCTACCTTGTGTGCCAATTGGAACGTGGCAACTCGAACTGCTGCACTTCGGTGTCAAGTTCTATGTTGAATCCAGACAGACAGACTGAATAATGACTTGGCAGCTGACGCTCCATAACATTTCTGTCCTTTCACGATGCCTGTGAGAAGTTGGCATTAAAAATGTACTAATACCGAAGTCATACTAGTTGTGACTGGAATTCAGGTTTCCACACGAAGTGGTTACAGATTATTACAACTTCCGAATCCGAAGATATCCACCCATTCGCTAAATGACTTCAGAGAAAATTTGGGTCTTCAGGTTGACGTATGCTGAAAGGTTTGACAGACTACCTCTAGCCTACTATTCTTTACCATAAAAGACAAGTTATTTAGAACAAATACTGGATGAGTGCGAAATATGATTTAACTAAGAACAAAGGTGTTAAGCTTGTGATACAGTTTAAAGTATCTAAAATGGAGACTAAACAGATAAGACTACGCATTGTTAAGACAGGGGCTAACTGGCAAAAAAAGAAGGCAACTTACTTCACTGAGGGTTCGTTATGTACTTCTGGAACGTTCCGAGAGTCATTAAACCGTTCTTCTTGGTTTATTTGTGAACATAACACCTGGTCGTTGTGAGGACTTGGAGCAAGAGATTCAGTCCCTGAACCTTCATCGTTTATGATAGATAATGGACTAACAAAAGGAGGTGGAGGTCGTAAAGCATGGTTGAGAAGCTCAAGTTTCGTTGCAGCGCACATACTGTTTGCTTTTCCCAACAACTCTTCATTGACAGCTGGAGTTTCAAAAATAGTGGTCTTAACAGCAGTCGGTGATCTTGATTTCTCGTTATTGTCTTCATCACTGTCAGAAAGAAGTAGGTCCTCCCATAGCCTAAAAGTTTAGCATGTGACTGTATATCAGTAGATCTTACTTGTGACGTTCAGCTGGAGTGATAGTTTCGGGAGGTAAGACTTCAGACTTCTCTGCTGGTGGGCGCATTTTCAGCAGCGTTTGGAACCCTGCATTGTCAGGTGAAGCTTGATCATTTTTAATGACCTCTTTGTTGTCAGGGACTAGCTGAGGTGTTGTCGGCACTTTGTATGAACGATCTGTGAAAGGCGGAGGAACATAACTGTAGCAGGTTAGGAATATGTTGGAAGACCTACTTATAACATCCTAGAGCTTTGAAACGAACACACCAGCTGACGTCGGCTGGTTCGTACTGATAAACTCCAGACCACGGGTCTCTCACCTCTACGTGAGTAATAATAAACGGAAAGGCATCTTATTACCTAGCTCAGTGTGTTTAGGCCACACAAATCCACCTGAATCACAATTGCTTCGTTCGGTTGCACTTGAAGGACAACCAAGGACGTCCATAAATTCAGCGACCGACATACCCATCCTCGACGAAATAACTCGAACATCTCGATCTTCAGAAGAAGCCTAAATATTTAGTAATATCCTGATACTATCGAAACCTTAACAATTTTCAAACAATTAGGCGACATAGTGTTATTCGATGAGATTGACAGCACTGATGAACGGTCCATTTTCGTGCGCCCCAGATAGCGGGTGTCTTGCTAGTTTGGCACAGCTTCGCTAGGTTTCTCGGAAAACCTGGGCCATAACAAGAAGTTAAGTCCACGAAACATCCGAAAACACAACGAAACCCGCGAAGTTTTTCATTCGACTTGCGCGCTTCACGTGTTCGGCGGCATCTCAATGTCCAACATCACTTCCACAAGGTAAACCAAACTGTCCAACTTGACCACACTTTTCATCAGATAGAAACGTTCTGAATCTCGTCTTTTATATACCTGGGAGACTTAGATAACATCAGAATCTAACTAGAGTTGTTAGAAAGCTTTTGGTTCGTCAAGAATCCGAATCTGCTGTGACCGACGCCAGTCTTCTCTCAAGCTTCTCGTTTTGTCCTGCAGATTAAGTTAAAACCCCAGTTAGTACCACGAATGAAAATGCGATGAAAAATAAATGAAATAGAAATATTTAACTGCTTAAATTAGGCCTAAATAGGCGTATGCGCAAAAGAGTTTGCTGACGCTACATCGTGGTACGATCGAGTTCTCAGTCAGTCTTAATACAGTGTACACCTAGTCAAAGTTTAGGTCTGTAAGCAAGTGTTTAGTGTAAATAGTGTAAACGGGAGCTGGGCGACCTAGCCTTGTCCATTGGTCATCGAAGAACATTGAGAGCACCGGGGACTTCAAAAT